CTTGTTGTTCATTTGTAGCTCCAAATAAGAAATTTGTGAGATTCAGATTAGTTTAAAAAAAAAAAAGCAAGAACTTCAGGAGCCATCATATATTCATAAACCATAATTCATGCAGACAAACTAAAATGGGAATATGCCTGAGGATGAATTTGCGTGGTAATATATCAAAGAATGAATAGATGGATAAGGATTCCTAATATTTGTGCATTGTGCTGGGGCAAACTGTGCGCTGAACAGCTTATCTTTCTCATGAGATAGCTCAGGTCCCATCTGAGCTAAGGCTCCAATTTTGTGGGATGGTACATAGCATCCATGCATCTGTAGGACCTAGGCCTAAATTCATTGCATTCTACCTAGCTAACCTCAATATCGTATTCTTTACAGTATGGGTAGGAATGGCATCCCTAGCCTCTGTTTTTCAGGTGCAGGAAATGGAGAGGGATCACTTGATTATTACCTGTTCTGTTCACTCCTTCTGGGGCATCTGGAATTGGCCACTGTCAGAAAACAGGATACTGGGCTAGATGGACCTTTGGTCTGACCTAGTATGGCCATTCTTGTGTTCTTGCAGTCTGACTAAAAACATTCTTTATAGTTACTATTGCATAAATATTGTCACATTCTATACTTGACAATGTTGCATGTCACTGATAGGCGAAATAATCTTGGTGTATTCAGACAATAAGAAACCTTGGGCTTTACCAGAATAAAAAGTGCCAAGTAAATGTAAGGTGATGTTAGTATCAATTACAAAAAGTGCCATGTTTACTCAGAGTTGCAAAGATCACTTTGTTCTTTTCAAGTTGAGCTAATGATTTTCACTGGAGCCAAACTATCTTCCTAGCATTGTGAAAAAGTTGTCACACACCATTAACATTGCTGGTGCAAAGCTGCAGAGTTTTAAAAAAACCAAGATATAATATTAAAATAAAAAATAGGGGGAAATGACTGGGAAAAAACAGCTTTAACATGAGCATGATAACTTTTTACCCTCTAGATCGGAGTGGCCAACCAGTTAAAGATGAAGAGCCAAAATAACTGTGGATAGAGTGCAAAGAGCCATGCATTATATATTTATTTTTAGATAGATAGATAGATAGATAGATAGATAGATAGATAGATAGATAGATAGATTACGCAGAACGATCGAAAGAGGAAAGTAGTTTGGACCTCAGGTTTACGTGGCTTTTCGACAAAGGAGGGGAGGGAGGGTCACTGAAAAAGGCTAAACTCACTGAATTTCACTTTCGAAAGTGCGATCAGAAGAAGATATGCAAATTCCACAGGCATTCCCACGGAATTTGCATATCCTCTTTCAACCGTTTGGTGTAGTCTATATGAGCCCATAGATAGAGTACACAAAAGGTAGTGATAAAAATAACATTACAGGACATTTTGGAAAAAACCAATAAAGAAGTCTCTAGTCACTCACAAAATTCACGTCAAGTCCATAGATCTTCAGAGAACTTGACAAGGAACAAACATCAAATTTAAAAAAAAAACATTTACAAATACAGTAATATTCGCATGCTAAAAAAAAGCATCCCCACCACGTATTTTAAATTTAACACTACTGCCCTATTATGTTCTGTGAGTCTTTTAAAATTAAACTGAACTGAGAAGTAAATTATCACAATTTAAAGTGCCCGTTACACTCAGTTGGTTTTTTTTTTTTTTTTTTTACTTATAAATTTTTTTTTTATCTTTCTAAAAATTCAGGTCTGTCCCAGACTGCAAATATGAGAGGTTCAAAAACAATAAGGGAGAGACTCACTGCTCCAGCCTGGCAAACAGTAGCCTTTGAATTTTCTTTAAAGAAACACAGTGTAAACCAGGTACATGCTGATTCTTTTTTTGCCCTGGAATTTAAATATGAAATCTGCGTCGGCTGCCTTATTCTGCATCCATGAAGACTTTGAGTTTAAGGTGCTTCAGCCTCTCTCCCCTACTCTAACCCAATGTCCCACTCCTCCCCCAGAGCCAGGCACCTCCAGCAATTTCCTATCTGCTCCAACCTAATGTCTGGGTCTCACCAGAGCCACACGCTTCTCCCTCCAGGCACTGGGGCACGTGCTCAGAGTGGCCAGCCATGAGCAGTCCAGGCACACAGCTCAGAACTAGCAAGAGCCACATTTCTGTGAGCAAAGAGCCTCATGCAGCTCAAGAGCTGCGGGTTGGCCACCCATGCTCTAGATACATTTTGGGGGTAGTAGAAGAAGGAGTTTACATTTGTTTTTAACTACCTCCTGCTTCCAAACCCTTATGATTGACTGAATCATACAGAGGAGGTACAGATGATGTTCAGCTTTGAAAATTACCATTGATAGAGAGGGTGGGAGGCGGGAAGAAGCAATAATAGTTGGGAAAAGCCAGCTTTTCTTTCCTGGGGTTGTTTTTCTGGAGGGCTGATTTAGCTCCACAGGGAATTCCCTGCAATAAAACATGTCTATGGAGGCCTCTCTTTCTCATGATGCTTTTTAATTAATGATGAAGCCTGGCTGTGACGTAGTGGGGGTACCTGGCTGGTTTCTATGCTGCTGGCTCTGGGGTAACCCCCACTGGCTGCCGTGGGTACCAGGACCCAGCAAAACAGGATGAGTCACTATGCAAACCAGTATGGCCAGACACCCCCCATGGAGAGGAACAAAGGAAGGTGGATGCTGCCCTGGCTGGGGGGCAGGGCTGGAAGAGAGTGAGTTAGTTGCTGTCTGAGAGCATGGAGGAGACAGCCTAGGGAAAGGGGCTGGAGTTTAGGGGCCCAGTCTCCCCCATCTCAAGGGGGCCTGAGGCATCCTAGCCCAGCTCTGTGACCAGATTACATCTGTGCTGTGCTGTATCCTGGAGAGGCAATAAACTTCCTCTATTCCACCGGCTAGTGCAGTCTGTTTGTGCCATTTCGGGGTGCAGGAGACAGGGGACCCCCAACCTGCCGTCACACTGGCATATGCCTAATCAAACTACACAAAATAAGCATACAGGCAGCTCTGAATATACCTGAGAGATAAAGGATGATAAGGGTCTCTAAACAAAGGTTTGACACATTTACTGGAAGGAGCAGGGCCGGCCCGAGGCATTCTGGCATCCCAGGCATGGGCATGCGGCACCGCCTCTGGGCACACGGCGCATGCGCTGGCCCACCCGTGGGGAGCAGGCCCGCTGCCCTAGCGGGCACAGGCCCGCCCCAGGGGCGCACGGCGCATGCACAGCCCGACTACCGCCACTAGCGTGCAGGCCGGGGCCCGCCCCTGGGGTGGACGGCGCAAGCATGGCCCAGTCCGGCCTAGCTGTCCCTGCTGGCAGCTGTGCCAGGCTGTGTAGGGCACCACGGCCTGGGGGGAAGGGTGTTGCTGGCCGGCGCCGTGGGGATGCGGGCGGGCCGGCGCTGCGGGAGCCGGGTGCGCAGCGCCTGATAGCAGCTATAAGGGACACCGTGTGCCCCTTACAGCTGCCGTCAGGCGCCCCCCATCAGTTGGCATCCTGAGCAGCTGCCCGGCTTGCCCATGCCTCCGTCCGGCCCTGGGAAGGAGAAAAAAAATAGAAGGCACCAAAAGAAAGATTATAGTCTAATAAGATTTTTTAATGCTACCTTCTTCTCATTTTCACTCCATCAGAAAATGGGGTAGGTGCCAGAGATATTTCAAACTGCTCAATGTAATTTAAGTAGCCAAGAAACAGATGTGCCAACCAATTTCTGGTCAATGCAGGGATTTTGTTAACAACCCACAAGCTTCTGCCCACTCTTGAAAATATCTTTCTTTAGTTGCACTATATTAGATTATACCAATTTATGTTGCATTCCATAATGCTGATTGACCCAGACACTCCCTTCCTCCTTCTCCCTGGTAAAACATATCATGTAAGGGAGAATTAGGAATCTGACTTTAGGTTTAGGAAGCTACTCCTTACAGCATGGCCTTAAAGCTACACCTATACTACAGCAATATTTTGGAATACAGGAGCTAGTCCGAAATAGCTATTCCACCTCTTAACAGCAAGCCCATTATTTTGAAATATAACAATCTCATTATTCTGATGTCCCTGTAAACATCATTCCACGAGGGACATTCTGGAGTAGCAGGTTATTTCAAAATTTGGTGCTGTGTAGAGAGCCTAATTTACCCTAAGTAACAAGGTTGAAGAATGCTAGAAACTGAAAGTGGGCAACAACTCCTTTTCTCCCTTCAAAAATATTTGTAACAAAGTTTATAATGCTACCCAAAATCCTACATTCTGTGTATGAAATTTTAATAAAATGTTTTATTTTATTCAGGAAATATTTTCATTTAAAATATAAATGTGAGAAGAAAATAGTGTTTTTGTTTTAGAAGAAAAGATTAGTGAGTCTGAAGCTTTCTTTCTGGGACTTCAAACCTTCCCATTATGTATAGAGAAAAAATTAGTGAGCAAAGAAAAGATCAAATGAAATAGCCATGGGCACAAACACAGTTTGTGAGATTGAATCCCAGTCTTCACAGTAGAGGTCAGAATACAAATATCCACACTTTTAGTACACTGCAGTCCAAACAGAAGGCTGACCAAACAGGTTCAGACTAGTGATACAACTAGGCGAGTAACTTTTCCGGAACAGTGGCCAGAACTATATACATCAGAAGAAGGCTTAAGTCTCCCCTGCTAACAATGGAATAATTTTTCCATAGGCAAATGCTATGGCCCATATAAATGCATAGTTTCTATTACAGACTTCTATTTTGCCGTGGGAGAAGGAAGAAAGAGGAGGAGAGTGTGTGTCACATTACATTGAGTTCATCTGGGTTAATCAGCGCCAGTTTGCTATGGCACCATCATGTAAAAGCATTGCATAAAAAGCTAGAAAGTCATGGTTCATAAATGCTTTTGATATTTTAAAGTTGTTATAAAAGCAAAACCTGGGAATTTCTTTTACTTGCCTTTGGAAAGAAAAGCACACACAAAGCATTCTCCCAGTAGATTCACTAAGAGACAAAGACAAAACAAGGACAATACAAAGTACCAAACTCTTTTATTCCACACGAGGATCAAATGGGCTGAGAATGTAGCCAAGAATGCAAAGAAGACAAAATGCTGAGCATAATCTTACTTAAAGCCTGCTTAAAATTCAGCAGCACTTTGAGGTAGTGTAAATGATTCCACACCATCTGGCAGCTGCAAGGAGAAAACAAATATAATTTACAGATACTGTACTTTACACTTGAATAATGCACTATTATCTACTAATTGCCATGAAATACACCATAATAGTCAAGGAATTAAAGTGTAATACTGTCTTACTAATTCATATGACATAATGTAGGCACATATTTATGTGTAATTATGTACACTGCATAGCTATACATGCTACATGTAATATACTGTAGTAGACTAAGGTATGATATTATAAGCATACATTCCACAGAGAACCATCATAGAATTTAGAACATCCTGTACATGCTATTTTTCTATCATTATAATGATAATTTATCTTCCATGTGGGTACCTGGCATTAACCAGCTATAAATAGCAATCATCATTTTATACCTGTCACCATACTCCTTCATGGATGAGTATTATCAGATTTTACAAATTGTGACCCTAATGCTCCAAAGGCATCCATCCATTGGTATTCCTATACTTATGTGGCGCTCCACTGAAATCAACAGAACTGGGTTAAGCAATAGATGGAATGCCTCCAAGCTGATGGAATGCCCCCAAGAAAACATAGGTGCAACAATAATCGATGCGGGTGTTCAGTAAGTGCCATTTTTTCTTCTGAGATAGCAGTGAACCTGGGCAGTGCTGCTGGAAGTGCTGTCTTTTGTCAAATTGAGAACCTATTCATTTATGATCATTAATGATCCCATGGCTTTTCTCTCCTCCTCTCAGACCAGCGGTTAGTGGTTCTGAGTCCAACTCTAGAGCTGAAATATGAGAGAACTACCTGGAATATGGAGCAACTGAAGAGTGCTTTCCCTAAGGAATGCACTGATTTAATAAATCATAATAAAGGCCATTCATCTAATTCGTTTTTGTATTTTTTGGTTCCTAACAAAGGTTGCCCAACTCAAACTCTAGGGTCCATTTTGATGTATAATAAAATAAAAGCGGTGAGGAGTCCTGTGGCACCTTATAGACTAACTGAAGTGTTGGAGCACAAGCTTTTGTGGGCAAAGACCCACTTTGTTAAGTGCAAATAAAAACTATCCCAAGGTGCAGCACCCTCACTCTGCTACAAATCCTCTAATCACCAGGCCCATGAGCTGTTGACATTAAACTCCCCACTGCATTTTCCTGACCAATAGAAATTCCACTCTCATCTGTTTCAGTCCTTCCAGAACACCGGCTCAATCAAATGGGCTTTGCAGCATGTTCAGAAGATTAGCTTATTTGGACTGTTTCAGACCAAGAGGGTGGGGAGAGCATTCTAAGGGATAGGAGCTCTTTTGGGGAATCCTGTTGACAGCCCTCTTCATTTTTATAATGAGGGGGGATCAAACTCAAGAGGCGATGCAGCAATATATAATCAAAAGTAAGGCATTCTCTCAGCAAGACAGGTTCTGAGCTGCTTAGAGTTTTGTTGGTCAAAACTAGCACCTTAAACTGCAGCTAGAAAGCAACAGGAACCCAGCCCAGATGACAGAACAATAACAACATTCTTTGTCACCAAGAGACATCACTGATTAAGTGGCCTGCCAAATATTACACCAGCTTAAGTTTCTGGGTAGTTTATAGTCAGGACCCATATGGAGCACACTGGTTACAAATGACTGTTTATATTGCACTCATGTGATAAGAGCAACATCATGAAAACAACTACCTAGTACCAGTCTAGTACACTCACAAAGTAGTACAGACATAGTTACATTGCACTGCCTTCATTTTATAGCCACAAGTTTGTTGAACCAAAACAAATTTTAATATTTTGCTGCAGGTATGTTAGATCTTTTGCAGCATATGGACCTGATTCTACATATTCTTTACTTAATCAACAAGCCAATCACACAAAATCTAATAAAGTGGTTCCCAGCTCAGTCTACAATTGTTCGTACTACTTCTCAGTAAAATGGTGTGCTTTCTCATGGGTGAAGGAAGAGCTATTCTGGAAAGCTTGTCTCTCACCAAGAAATATTCAGTAAAAGATACTACCTCACCCATCTTGTCTTTCTTATGTGCCGGCACCAATAATTCTACAACAACACTGCGTACAACATGTCCTGATTGACCAATTTTATTGAAACCATGCATTGTTTTGCCCTGGAGATCAATAAGCATCTTTGGTATTCAAAGGGCAAATAAACTATTATGAGAAATCCAGAAAATGAAACTTTTATTAAATGAACACATCATGGATTTATGTTCTACAGCTTTCTACACTTTCTAATCTACAGCAGACTGTACTTTAATATAGCCTCCCTAGTGGATATCTTTATTGTTGTAGCCAGTAGTGATGGAACCATGTGAAGGTTGTGTAGGACCAGAATGCATTCTGGTATAAACTGACATAGTTCCATAGAAGAGGTTGAAGCTATGTCAGTCTTCACCACCTGAGATTTTTATCCACAGGATTTTATTGCTGATGATAGTCATAAAGGACAGTAAAGTTATTCCTTAGAGTATGATTTCCTAAAATGTAGATGCTGTGATTTCTTCGGAAAACACAAAGGTCCCAGCTCAGCAATGTACTTAAACATATATGTTAAGGTGTCCCATTGAAATCAATGGGACCATTGGTGGAATTTAGGCACATATTTAAGTTCCTTGCTGGCATCATTGCTCACCATCTCTGTGTTTAATACCCCTCAAACTCACATTAGAAGGTTGAGGGCATTTCCCATTGAAATGGAATTGATGATGCTCAGGATCTTTCAGTATTAGGCCCGATCATAGCAAAAATTAATTTGCATCGCACAGCTGGATGTGTGTTGCATCTTGATTTGTCGTACATTTGAATGGACATCCCAGGAATAAAGCTGCATACTTTGAATGCAGATATATTCAATATTCTACTAACATCAGTGTGATTATTCAGCTAATGGACACACTTTTACACAAAGTGTCTTGGTTTATAAATCTCCTGGGCTTTTTGTAGAATTTACAGGGGCCTCTATGAAATTTACTCCACTTGGACCAAAAGCAGGGCATTTTAATAAGCTAATACATATTTCTGAATGGCCTTCTCTTGGAATAAAACATGCTGATAAAATATGTGAAATGGGACAACCAAACTGGACAACAAAACAGAGAAAGCGAAATATTTTGCATAGTTAGTCAGTCATAGATTTTTAAATCCAGAAGGGACCATTCGGATAATTTCTCCTAGCAATACCTGCATCATGGCCATAGTATCTTGTTGAATTTGAGTTTAATCTTTCAGAAGATTAAAGTCAAAGATTCAGAAGATTCAGTCTTGATTTTAAAATTTCAATCTCAATATATTGGAAGAAATCTCCTGCAGATTTCTGTTGCTCTGGATTATCAGCAGAGCAATATATATGCTCTCCCACAGAGGTGCTCTGCCCGCCTAAGCCCCTGCCATAATTTTAATTGCTAAACCGCCCCTCCCCCCCATATGTTCTCTTTGTCCCCCTCTCTCAGCAGGCATCAGTCACCACTGCTCTCTCTGGCAGCATTGAGCCATGTGAATGCTTTCTGCTCTATTTCCTGTAATTCCATGAGGCAGGCTCTCGCCAACAGAGAAAAGCTGGCACCTTACAAGGCCCCGCCTCTTCCTCCTGCACATCTTCATTATATTCAGAAATAAATTATCTTCTTAGTTACATTATTACATCTTAAGTTGACAAGTAAATCTTATTATAAAAGTGTAATGATACAATAAAAGATATTTTATTCATGCATTTAGCCTGAATGTCTCTCTCTGACACTTAATTATATCTGCTGCCGCATGGTGAGCTAAAACATTAATTTGGCAAATCAACTAAAATCCTCTGTAATAGACTATTTCCTTGCCTGCTCTCTAGATATCGGTTTACCACATACTGAAATTATTTTAAATATATGCCCCATGAGTCTTGGAAGAGCAGACTAGTTTGGAAGGCATGAATGTGAAGAAGATACAGGTTGAACCTCTCTAGTGCAGCACCACCCATGGTCCAGCTTGATTTTAGTTAGCTTGATGTCCACTTATCATGGGTGTGGCCAAGATTCCCATGTCCCAAAAAGCTTGTTTACAGCCACCAGTCCTGGCTCTCAGTGTTCTGTGCTGTTATTTAGTTCTAATTTAGCCCTAAATGTCTTCTAAATGCCCAGTAAGCAGTGGAAGTGTTGGTAATGCTGCTAGACAATATTGACCTCCTGAGGTCTGGCAAATTCTCTGGTTTGGCATTGGTCAGATCACGAGGTTCAACCTGTATTTCAAAAAGAACAGTGAGAAAGGACAAATCCTAATCTTCTGTAAAACTCCTGAGAAAACTAGCTTTAAACAGAGGAGTACCAGTGCAGGTGATCCATGGCTTGCTAGTATTGTCTACTGATGCTGTTCTTGCTCTTCTTTAATCTTGCCCGCATGTTGCCAAGAAGAGAGCTGCTGAGAAACACTGCATAGCAGTGTGCAAAGATGTGACGTTCCATGGCATGGCTCTTCTATGACTCACCCACCCACAAGTTATGTCTACACAGTCCCTCTCTTGCGGAAAAACATATGCAAATGAGGCTAAGCATGACTATCGCCATGCCTTATTGCATAATTAATTAGACTCCATTTTTGCGCAAAAAGGAGTCATCTGCATTGCTCCTTTTCGTGCAACCCCCCCCCACTTGCGCAAGAGCCGTTCTTCTGCATTTTTTTCTGGAAAAACGGCTCTGGAGCAAGAGGGGGTTTGTGCGCAAAAAGGAGCTGTGTAGACATCTCCTTTTTGCGCAACAACTTCTTGCGCAAAAGCGGAGCCTCATTAATTATGCAAATGAGGTGTGGCCATATTCCACACAGCCTCATTTGCATACATTTTTCCACAAGAGCGGGGCAGTGTAGACATAGCCACACTTTGCAGCAGAACCACAGCATTTCTGCTCATTTAGGGATTTACCCCTATAATTAACTTGCGGTGTCCAGACATGATCTATGGGAAGGAAATGCTACCAAGAGGGAAGGATTCAAGTTCAGTTGTCATCCTAGGTCGAAAAAGGCAAGAGTAATTATATATATTCCCTCA